TACTGGGAGCACTGGGAGGGCTCCGGGGCGATACTGGGAGCACTGGGAGCGGCTGCAAGAGAAGGAGACAGCACCGTTAGGAGACAGCCGCGGTACCGGGGGGGTTCCCAGGACCCTCAAAACCCACCCGGGACCCCCCAAAAAACCCCCCGGGACCCCCCCACGCTCCCGGTCCCGGTCCCGGTCCGGTCCCGGTTCAGGGCGCGATTTCCGGGAATGGGGCGGGGCCGGCGCTGAGTCACGGAGCGGTTCGGGAGGGTCCCGGAAGGGTTCGGGAGTGTTCGGGAAGCTTCGGGAAGGTTCGGGAAGGGTTCGGTACCTGAGGGAGCGGCGCCGGTTCGGGACCGAGTTCGGGACCGGAACGGGGAAAGGGGCGGGGCCACGCCCGGGGGCGGGGCCTGGAACCGGGAACCGAGACCGGGACACGCCCTGGGTGTGGCCCGAAAGGGGCGTGGCCCGAATTGATAACGGAGCCAATCGGGGGCGTGGAAAACGGTGGGGGCGTGGCCAAGACGTTGAATGACAGCAGCGCCCTCCCGTAGCGCCCAATGGAGTGGGCGTGGCCAAGGATGTGATTGACAGTTGGGGCCCCGTGGGGGGGCGTGGCTCTGCAGATCCGGGCGGTGTCTCAAATGACGTCATCAGCGCGCGCCGGGACAAAGATGGCGGCGCTGGGGAATTTTTGGGGCTCCCCTCCCTCCTGCCCTCCCCTCCCCCACTCGAGGGGTCCCCGTGTCCCTCACAGGGACCCTCGCAACCCCCCCACCCCAAATTTGGGGTCCCCCCTCCACGTTCCCGCCAGATTTGGGGTCCCCTCCCCCCCCCACCATGTCCTCCCCCATTTTTGGGGTCCCTCCATGTCCGTCCCCCCCATTTTTGGGGTTCCTTTCCTAATTTTGGTGTCCCTTTCCCAGTTCAGGGGTTCACCTCCTACTTTTGGGATCCCCTCCCCAGTTTTGAGGTCCCTTCCCCAATTTTGGGATCCCCCTCCTCAAATTTGGGATCCTCTCCCCATTTCTGGGGTCTCCTCCCCAGTTTTGGGATCCCTCCTCAATTTTGGGATCCTCTCCCCATTTCTGGGGTCTCCTCCCCAGTTTTGGGATTTCCCTCCCCCACCCCACCCCCAGTTTTGGGGTCCCCTCCCCAATTTTGGGGGTCGCGGGCGGTACAAAGGATTTTATTGGTGGCAGAAGCGGCTCCGGGGGGTCCCATGCGGCAGCGGGGAGGGGACATTTGGGGACATTTGGGGACATTTGGGGACATTTGGGGACATTAAAGCCACTGACACGAGCGCGGGGGGGGTGGGGGGAGGGGACGTTATTGCTACTGCGGGGGGGGGTGGGGGGAGGGGCGGCCAGGAGGGACCCCCTCCCCCATTTCATTTCTGGGGAGGGGTCGGGAGAGGAGAAAACCGGGATTTGGGATCCCCCAAAATATTTGGGGAAGGGGGCGTGGCATCGATTCCCAAAATTCAAACGAATTCATCGGCACAAGAGGGAGCCAAAAAAAAAAAAAAAAAAAAAAAAAAAATTTGGGAGGGGGATCCCCCCCAAAAATATTTTTGGGGGTGGGCGTGGCATCGATCTCCCCCCCCCCCGAATAATCAATAAATTCCGGAGTGAACAGCCCCAAAAATCGGGATTTGGGATCCCCCAAAAAAATATTCCGGGAAGGGGGCGTGGCATCGATTCCCAAAAAAAATTTACCGGTGGGGGAAAATTCCAGAGGGGGGGAAAAAAATTCGGGATTTGGTCCCCAAAATATTCCGGGAAAGGGGGCGTGGCCTCAGCCCCCTTAATTAATGAATTAGTTAATAGGTTCCAGAGTGAACACCCCAAAATTTGGGTAGGGGGCGCGGGGGGGGAGGGGGCTGCGGTCG